ATGGAGCAAGGTACAGTAATATACAGATCTATGGCTTCAGGTAGTAGCACATTTTGTTATATTAGTATGAGCATATAAGCATATAAACATATGAGCGGTTGTGATTTGCTACGCCTAACATAGCTTTTAACCTAACTGCTGTGAGTCTTGCGCTAGTAGTATGTGTGGTTTGGTGTGGTTTGGTAATTTCTCCGAAGTAGCTAGGTGTATCCAGTTTACTCCTGGTCTCTGCTATGCCATCCGGCTGGTGGGATAATCGGTCTGAATTATAAGTCGAGCAGAGGGCTCGCCAAGAGTGGAGCAGTATACCCGGACCACTAGTGTGTAACTAAGCTACTTGGTGCAAGGTTGAACGGCCACAATGTTGTGTATGTTTTACGCCTCGTTATAGCAACCATGTGAGTGAACACCAGCTCGAGCTAGCATCCTGAGGGGGGGAGTGGGAGATTGCTGTCCGTAGACCACCTAATCATATGTGTATAGCGGGAGTATACCTGCAACTTGATGTGAGAGTGTTATGCCAAATGAAATATAAACAATTAAAGGAACTTGTAGGTAATGTATCAACAGGACAGCTGGGGTACCCCCGTATAATGTAGCCTGTTGGCTCCTTTAGGCCTGCTTCAAGTAGTTCCTGTTACTATCAGAGCATCCTTGGGTTTGCGTGGGACAAAAGGGGTCACCCCATCCGGATCTCAGCGGTGCTTTGACCCGCTCTGACCCACGGTCTCTGCAAGTTGTACAGAGTCTTGCAATAGTCCTAGTGTGGGCAGCAAGGTTGCCACTTCTTGTATGTCTTGGATCTCATACTTATCATTCCCCTGAAGTACTTGCAGCGTTCGTGCCTGGAGCCATTTGTATCTCAGTCCTTTCTGTTGTAAAAGTGTCGTGAGTGGCTTAAGTGACTTCCGCCAGGCTAGTGTGCCCCCTGTGAGGTCTGTGTAGAAAGTTAGTTTCATTGCTTCGAACTTGTAAGGTGAACAGTCCCTGGTAGCCGCCACTACTGCTACTTTGTCGGCATGGTGTTGGAACTTTACTATGAGGTCCCGTGGTGCTGAACTCGGCGCATTAGCCAGTTTCGGGGCTCGAAAGAAGCCGTCCAGTTGGACATTTCTGCCCTGTTTTGGGTTCAATAGGGCCACCAGGAGGCGCCTCAGGACATGTGGTATCTCTGTTGCTGGTATGTCCTCTGGGATGCCTTAGATCTTCAAATTATTAGCCCGGCGTGTGTCCTCTAGGGCTGCAAAGTGGCGTTCGTGCACCATGTTCTGTTGCTGGAGCTCACGGACCTCTTGCTGCAGCGTGGTAACATGGTCCGAGTTGGCGCTGGCTACAGATTCTAAAGCTCCCATTCGGCCTGTCAGGCCATGTATGTCGGCCCGGAGCGTTGTGACATCGGTTTGGAGCGTCCTCTGCAAGTCCGCGAGGAACGATTTCAGGACTTCGCTGGTCACAGGTGAGTTGTCCTTATTTTGGATGGCTGGTGTTAATTCCTGTGCCGGAGAGAAGTTGGCCTATTCTCCCTCCGAGGAGAAGTCGTCCGATAACTCAGAATAGTTGTCCGGGTAGTCGGCCGTTTTGGGCCCCGCGTGTTTGTCACAGTAGCTCTGCTATATTTGGCCCTTGCCTCGGTTTGTCCGGCTTTATTTTTTTCATTTTCTGCCCCATTTTGTCCTCCAGTCACTGCCCTCTCCAGGTATGACCCTAAGGAGCAATTTGGGTGATCAAAATCGGTAGTTTTGGGCCCAAGTTTGCAGGAGCTCTTGTGCCATGCGACTGTTCCGTCGCTGCTAAGCACTTTTATTCGTATATGTGGAAATAAAGCTGTTCATTTATCCTTACTGGCTACAGTGGAAGTCTCTTTATATATTTGGGCTATTCAAGGTAGAGCAGACTCATCTGCTCTATGTTTGTGAGTGAATTTCTTATCTCACTATTAATTCAGTACTTTTTACCCTACAATACTATACTATATATGTTTTGTATTCTCTTTTATGTACTGGAATTGGAGCTGTGACTTACCTCAGATATAGTGTTAGTGTAAGTTAAATTAATTTATGCACTTTATCACTTTGAAGTGTTTTTGCAGTTTTCACTTTTAGATCACATATGTGCTGATCATTTGTACACACCTCATCACTTGTGAGTGAAACAGTGTATTGTACTTTATTTCAAACAGCTGATGCTGCTAAATGAATTTGCACTTTAAATTTTAGCGCACCTTTTTCTGTTTTTATTTTTTTTATAACCTTGTTCGTATCAATAATCTTCTTTTAACACTGATGTATTTTTCATTGTTATGCAAATGTAGGTTGGTTTTGGGAAACATATGATACACAATAACAAATCACTTTTTGAAGAAACATATGTTTTTTCTGCACCTGACACCTCCAGTCTCCCATAACTGCCCTTAGGCTACTTGATTTGTAGAGTCAACGCGTTCCACCAGCACAGAAACACAGCAACATTTTAGTTAGTAACTGTAGAGAAGCACACTTTGCCATCCCACCATACACGCTGAAACTTCAAGCATTTTAATGCACGAACCACAGTTCGGCTGACACATTCATTAGGAGAAGCCTTAGGCTACTCTTCTAGAGGTTTAATTCATGTTTCACATAATAACAGAACTATCTGTCAAAAAACAAGCGTTGCCGGTGTAAAACCAGAAGATTTATCATGCTTTTGTTCCTTCTACAAAAACAAGATGCTCGTATTAAATTGCAGTTACTCATCCTGAAATGAGAATGGGTAGCATTGAGGTAAAAGATGTATGAATACTTGCTTCCAAATTCTTTTGCAATAAGACAGAAAATCTGTGAACTCTTGTCCTACCTACATTTAACACTTTCTGTATGCCTGCCCTACTGAGATTCTATGTATCTATCACATAGTAAGATAGTGTTCTATTCGTTGAAGATAATCGCTCTGAATACATGAGAGTGTGTGTATGTATGTATGTATGTATGTATGTATAACACACAATCGTCATCTTTATTCTTTTGCTTGATGTCCTTTTCTGCAGAGATCCCAGAAACATTATATCTCAATATGTGTCATTAAAATAATTATGTTCATAATATATTAAACACCCAGTAGGACTATTACAGGGTGTAGCTTCTTTCTCTCACACTGTACATCTCAAGTCATATACCACTACCAATTCTATAAATCACAGAGCATTTATTTATTCAGAATATTGTTGTTGTTTTTTTTGTGCTTGACGGCTAGCAACAATCAATTTTACCTTTTTTTTAAAATCCTCATTTAATGAGTTTTAAGTTGCCTTGCCATTTAGAACTCGTTATATTTATTGTGTGTATTGTGACAATTGCCTGAAAACAATTTCACCAATTAAGATAATGACACTCAATACCAATTATAATAATGTAGGCAGGTTTTATCTCATGGTAATTAATTTCACTAACTACTAACAGCAATAGCACCTGCTATTAGGATACAGAAGTTAAAAACATAAGGAAGAAATATATATTTTCAGTTATAATTTGGATCGAACTATGACATCATGATTTTTCCTGTTCTGAAGATCTTGCACTGATCATTTTCCAACTAAGTAATCCCATTATAATTATGCTTTTTTTTTAACATGTATAATTGTGTAGAAGGTTGAAACATATAATTGTAATGTGTGTTTTCAGGGTACAGTTAACTCCCTCCGTCCTAGATTCCCTGAATGATTCTAGTGAACTGATACAAATTGTGCTATAAGGTTACAATAAAATGACAGATTTGGACGAAGCTCCGTATCAGAGTGCGAAACGTGTCAGTGATGCCATACTAACCATTGAGTTTCTGCTGCAATTGCAAGAACCAATTTTACAGAGGAACTGAAAGTAATTAAGAGGATATTATAAATATATTGGTTTTTTTTTCAATATAATGGACTGCCTGAAAATTTTTGTTTGGAAGAAGTTGTAGCCCTGTCTGCCTCTTCTAGTTTTGTATGAAATATTGGCAGCTAACATTTTGGGTACCCGGATATCTTAAAAACAATGAAAGCTTCCATTTCTATAAGACAGTGAAACGATATTTATGTCTTCAATTCGTGCATATTTTAAGTTCAGTTATCTCAGTCTAAAATTTGAAATTCACTGTAGGTCGGAGCCATACAGTATCCCAGGCGATAACGAGTCAATACGATATTTACTCGTGTAAATTTAGGGCCTACATACTTTGCATGGATACTTGGACGAGTTGATGGGCTCATCCAAACAATGCACCCAAGTGGTGTAACCAAGTTTCTACATTGTCATATTAGTTAGGTGATCTTTCGTAGCCTTGAAATATTTAACCCCTTAAGGACCAAACTTTTGGAATAAAAGGGAATCATGACATGTCACACATGTCATGTGTCCTTAAGGGGTTAAAATGGGTTAAATGTTTGTGTGATATTTATTTTCTTTATAAACTAAAATGCTCAGTTGGATTTTTCCTACTTTTTTTGAAAATTCCATAGTTAATTACCAGTCTTTGGAAAATTTCAAGGACGCATTTATTTTAGTATAGGCAAAAACATATACATCTGTATTCTGGGATGTACTTGGAGAATTACAAAATGTGAATTTATGCTGAAAAAAAATCCAAATTGAATCTCTCTAAATGCCGCCCATCCTACAGTGTGAAAAATAACGATAGCCCTGTGCCAATCACTATGTGTGATAGGTCAGAAGAATACATAGGTTTAGTGACAGCAAGTCATCATATGATTCAGCATCAGATACATTCGATACATTGTTTCATGCTGCTATCACAGACATAATGCTCTGTCCTATAACTATACATGATTTGTAATAATTTAGGGATTTCATGGTAACTGAAATCTACACCTCTTCATAAACGTATCTGTAAATAAGGGCATGCTGTATTTCTTTGATAAACTGTATTATTTACCTTTTGATATCACGCTAAGTTGAATTCTGAGTACATTTTATTTGTCATGTTTGAGATGTTAATCCAGCCATGGTTTTATGAAGAAGTAAGTAGAAGTATAGATCAGGGTGTTGCCGTGGATGTGATCTATTTGGATTTTGCCAAGGCATTTGATACAGTTCCACACAATAGATTAGTGTTCAAACTCAAAGAAATCGGTTTAGATGAAAATTCTTGTTGTTCTTGGGTAGATCATTGGCTTAAAAACAGAGTACAGAGCTTTGACATTAATTGTACATTTTCAAGCTGGACAGAGGTGGCAAGTGGTGTCCCTCAGGGGTCTGTTCTGGGACCCCTTCTATTTAACATGTTTATAAATTATCTAGAAAAAAGCATAGAAAGTCATGTTTCAGTGTTTGCAGATGACACAAAACTCTGTAAAGTAATACAATGTGAGCAAGATATTACTTTGCTACAGAGGGATTTAGATAGACTGGGGGTCTGGGCACTCAAATGGCAGATGAAATTTAATGTAGAAAATTGCAAAGTTCTGCTCTTCAGAGTCAAGAATGCACAAGCAACTTATACCCTTAATGGAAGTGAATTATAGATAATCACACACGAGAAGGACTTGGGAATTGTTATAGAGAAAAACCTATGCAACAATGTGCAGTGTCAATCAGCAGTGGCTAAGGCCAGTAAGGTATTGTCATGCATCAAAAAGGGCATTCATTCTCGGGACGAGAATATCATTTTGTCTCTTTATAAATCACTGGTAAGATCCCATATTGAATATGCTGTGCAATTTGGGGCACCTGTTCTAAATAAGGATATTATGGCACTAGAAAGAGTGCAGAGGAGGGCTACAAAATTAATAAAAGGAATGGAACATGTCAGCTATGAAGAAAGGTTAACAAATTTAAACCTCTTTAGTTTAGAAAAATGTTGTCTCAGAGGGGATATGATAACATTATACAAATATATTCAGGGCCAATACAAACCATAGTGTGGAAATCTATTCACAAAGCGGACTTTACATAGGACATGAGGTCATGCGTTTAGACTGGAAGTAAGAAGATTTCGTCTAAGGCAAAGGAAAGTTTTTTTACTGTAAGAACAATAAGGATGTGGAATTCTCTGCCTGAAGAAGTGGTTTTATCAGAGTCCATACAGATGTTCAAACAGCTACTAGATGCATACTTGCAAAAACAGAATATTTAAGGATATAATCTTTCAATGTAGGGTAATAACTGCTTGATCCAAGGATAAATCTGACTGTCATTCTGGGGTCAAGAAGGAATTTTTTTCCTAGTTTGTTGCAAAATTGGAAGTGCTTCAAACTGGGGGGTTTTGCCTTCTTTTGGATCAACAGAAAACAAATATGAGGAAGACTGAACTTGATGAAAGCAAGTATCTTTTCATGTAACTATGTAACTATGAGTGTGGCACTAGATAGATAGATAAATAGATATATAGTTTTTCTTTCTGTCTTTTACTATAGAGGACGCAATTAACAAAAACTAGACTGATACTCTGTTGAACAAACACCAAGACCTAAAAACGATTGTCAGCAGTCACTGGTCAAATGGATGCGGTCTATTTACATCTACACTCATTAAGCTAGAGAATCCCACGGTATTTGTAGACAATCACAAATGAATACTGAAAATGAAGTGGGAAGATTATCTAGCTCTAGTGGATTATGTTTGTGTTCTGCCAATTCGAAGGGCTTCAGAATAAATTGTAATGGGACAACAAAACAGGATTGCAAATCTATGTACTCAGTCTTACCATACAAATAAAGAACTATCAAGTTACTTTGAAAGAATGTGTTTATGGATTACTGATGAGCAATTTTATTTATATAGATTAAACTGTCTGTATCCAATTCATTGCACCCATTCCTAATTGTCAAGTTTGTTTGTACCAGATATTACTCCTAGGAGTGTGATAGCTTTAAAGTGATAACCGCTACAGTGTGTTCCAGTGGTTATGATGCTAGTTAGGTTCCTTAGTTTCCATGGCTCCCAACAAACATTCCCTCTCTAACTGGGATGTGAAAATGAAGTTGCACATGCTCATTTTATCTCCAAAATATTTGTACTAGGTTAGCAGAATGTGGTCATGCCAAAATGAACTTAACCTATTTAGTGCTGCTGTTTAGAAAGAGGAAGAACTTAAAGGCTAGTTCAGTGATTTGAAGTGGTCATGGTGCTTACAGTCTGCGTGTGGAGCTTTCAGTTGGAAATTCTGCATATACAGAGAAAATGCACATTGCTATCAAAGATCTATCTCCACCTTCAGCAGTTTCATTAGCCAACCCTTTGATGAGAGTCCCGGGCTGGCTATAATAACAACTAGTATTTATATATATATTATTATTATTATTTATATAGCACCATCACATTCCGTAGCGCTGTACAATGGGTGGACTAACATACATGTTATTTTAACCAGACAATTGGACGTCTGGTATAGTGCCTCTCTACCATTGGAACTCAAAGTGCTTGGTCTTCGAATGAACTGAATTGGCATCTGAATAATAGACATTATTATTACCCAATTGATGGTACTCATTTTATCGACCTCGGAAGGATGAAGGGCTGAGTTGACCCTGCTTGGATTTTAACCTGTGCCCTTGTGGTTTGAAGAGGCTCTGTACTCACAGCATTTGCTGTAATCCTGTGCATATTTAACCTCTGTCGTCAGCATGCGTGAAATGCAGGTAACAGACAATTAATGGTTGCAAGGTCCCACCTGTTCCGCTTAGCCTGACTTCTGGGATGTCTATCCTTCTGCATTGCAGGGGAGTGGTATCACCTGAGTACGATCAGGCTTCAATGAGATCAATTTACCCTTATTTCTTTAATTCTTGTATTTATTTGGGTGGAGGGGGGCTGCCAGGAAAACACAGTCTTTTATCTCAAGTAGTAATAATAGTATTACTTTACTGAGAGGGTAGTGGATGCATGGAATAGCCTTCCAGCTGAAGTGGGAGAGGTTAACACAGTAAAGGAGTTTAAGCATGCGTGGGATAGGCATAAGGCTATCCTAACTATAAGATAAGACTAGGGAGTAATGAAAGTATTTAGAAAATTGGGCAGACTAGATGGGCCGAACATGAGCTCATGCCGGACAGGTAAGTATTAAGGAGCAGGAAGGTTGGCACATTTTATTTTCTGCTGATCTGAGCAAGCAGTAAAGTTGTAAACATTGGGATGTATGCTGACATGTTAATGGAGGACATAATTGAGAACTAAAAGCTCCTTATCATGTTGACCCATTTCTGAAAAGTCTCTCGAGACACCTGTGGTTAAGGCTCAGAGAACTGATCGATGCGTTGACTTATGGAAATTGTATCAAAATACGATCCAGAGGTCACATTTGACATAAAGATGGTGAGGGCTGTAACCTGAAGATAACATTTAGTAAAAGAAGTACCATGTGTAGGATCGACGTTATAATGGATCACAGACGTATACTTGGTCGAGCATGTTCTAACATGATCTGTGGACTCTGACTTGTTGCAACACAAGTTAGAACTATGGGAGTTGAAACATCATCATTCATTCATGAGTGAATTTGTTACATTTGACAGTAGGTAAGTCTGTCCGGTGTTATATAGAAATAGAGTACAGTTTATCCATGCTGTCTGTATATCTGTCTGTATGTATCGATTCCGTGGTTCAATGAGACAGTTTTACTCTTCCAGTTACTCTTATCTAATCCCTATTGTTCATTGTTACCTGTAAAGTTAAATGTTCTGTGTTCTATAAATGCTGCTCAAGTTCACTAAAAAACATAAATGGTGATAGAAAACAAAAGCATAAAATTTAAAGTAATGTTCTCACAAAGGCCTAAATGCAGATTTATTTATAAAATATTTTACCAGGATGAATACATTGAGATTTCTCTCGTTTTCAAGTATGTCCTGGGTCCATAAAACATTGCATTGTTGCAATAGGATACAATATTACAAACATACAAAATACAAACAATATATATATATATATATATATATACATACACACATATATAAATTTAATACATAACAGGTAATAAATATATTCAACCATGACAGGTGCATTCTATGCTGAGGTATATTGCCATAGATCTCTTAAAAGATTTTAGATTGAATGAAGATGTGATGCCTATAAATAAAAAAAAGGCTTTGTATGTCCCAGATCTTTAATTTGTGTTGTGCGTCTGAAATGGAGGGGGCATTCCTGAGCCCAGAATTGGGATGTTTGTTGGATGCTGGAAAAGAAGATTATGTTGTGGGAAATGATGAATTTGTAAAATGAAGAACAAATTGGATTTGGGGCCAAGCAAATTCATGATTCCAATGCCCTTGACCCTAGGAGGTTGCCTAAGTTTGACTTATGGTTAATCCTACTTTGATGACAAGGGATAGAGAATAGGCATGGAGATACATTATAATAATATATAGTCACAGAATAGCTCTGGAACACCAAAACAATGAGTGTTTGGCACAGAAATGGTTTATTGAGGTAGCAAGGAACTGATGCCAGGCTGGGCTGTAACGTGTTTATTAATCAGGGAATGCCATCATTGGAACCTGAAAATGATATAGGCTTCCTTGGCATTTATAAAAATGGTTTGGAGGTGTGTTTAGATCGGAGTAACAATACATTGCCACAATGTAAAGTTAGCTGTGGCAGCTTGCAACGTATCTCAGTGTGTGCTTCGTTCCTGCATCGATTCTCTTAACATGTCAGGATAAATGTCGGACAACACGGAAGTGCTGGATTAAGAGCATAATAGATCTGGTCCTAAAAATTATAACGGGCCTAATTACAGAATCTTACAGATAGGAAACTCTAAAACAAACATACTTTGCAGTGACCTAGATTTGGAAGGACAGACTCAATTTGGGACCTGTGTCCTGTCATCTTTGGCTATTCCTTTGGTACTTTCATTTTTAGGGACATCATAGAAAATCCCATTCGACCTAATTTGAAACCAGTAATTGAAGGGACATAGCCGCGTAATTTATTTTTCATAGATGTGCTTTTTTCCCACTTTTTTAATTGCACAGGTGTGTTTTCTGCATTCATGCTGGTACAAAAGCTTGGCTTGTGTTATTACACAACATTTTGAGGATGATTTGTAATTTCCATACACAGATATTGTGAAGATCTATTTTATGATGTGTCTTTGGTGAATCTATATAGTGTTACATAAAGCATCACGCATGTTTATAGAAGGCTTAACACTCAAGACACAGTTTCTCATTTATTCATTTTAAAACATGTCTAAGGCTTGCAGAGAGAAGGATTATTCATTGTGGCCCTTT